TTCAGGCAATTCTCCTGCCTCAGCCTCCTGAGCAGCTGGGACTACAGGCATGCGCCACCATGCCCAGCTAATTTTTTGTATTTTTAGTAGAGACGGGGTTTCACCATGTTGACCATGATGGTCTCGATCTCTTGACCTCGTGATCCACCCGCCTCGGCCTCCCAAAGTGCTGGGATTACAGGCTTGAGCCACCGCGCCCGGCCTCACTCTAACTCTTGAAAAAACTCTCTAAACAGCCTCTGTGGAGGGTAGTTGGGCAAAATCTACTGAACCTAAGTGCATATAACCCTGGACACAGTTCCACTTGTAGGAATTCATCTTGTAGATGTACCTATACACAGATAAAACAACTTACCAGCCAGTTACTCCCAGCCAGTGTAGCATTGTTTATTTTTTATTTTTAAAATTTTTAGGGAGGCGGTGGGGGTGAAAAAAAAATTTAGGTGTTTGTTTTTTTTTTGTTTGTTTTTTTTTGTTTTTGAGAAGGAGTTTTGCTTCTGTTGCCCAAGCTGGAGTGCAATGGTGGGATCTCAGCTCACTGCAACCTCTGCCTCCCAGGTTCAACTGATTATCCTGCCTCAGCCTCCCAAGTAGCTGGGATTACAGGTGCACGTCACCACGCTTGACTAATTTTTTGTATTTTTAGTAGAAATGGGGTTTCACCTTTTTAGCCAGGCTGGTCACAAACTCCTGACCTCAGGTGATCCGCCAGACTTGGCCTCTCAAAGTGCTGGGACTACAGGTGCTGGGACTACAGGGGTGAGCCACGGTGCTCGTATTGTTTATAATAACAAAGAATTGGAAATAATTGCATTGCCTGTCAACACATCCTATAATTGAATACTGTGATGTTGTTTTCATAATAATAAACCCTAAGGCAGCATGGTTTAGTTCTTAGGGGAGAAAGACAGAAAATCTAAATCAGGAAACTGGTAGGGACTGGTTAAATAATTACAAATTGTGGTATGTTTATATACTGAATATGATATAGCAACAACAAAAGAAACTATGTGTTGCTATGGAACAATTTCCAATATATATTAAAGGCAAAACAAGATGAAGAACTCATGCCTGTGAATTCAGATACTGTCTCTTGATATTCTCTCTCTCACACACACACATACTAGTACAACTGGATACCTTTGGGGTAAGGAACATGATGGAGCTGGTTGCAGTGGCTCATACCTGTAATCCCAGCACTTTGGGAGGCTGAGGCAGGCAGATCACCTGAGGTCGGGAGTTCAAGACCAGCCTGACCAATACAGAGAAACAAACCCTGTCTCTACTAAAAATACAAGATTTGCCAGGTAGGCACCTATAATCCCAGCTACACTGGAGGCTGAGGCAGGAGAATCACTTGAATTTGAGAGGCGGAGGTTGCAGTAAGTCGAGATCGCGCCATTGCACTCCGGCTTGGGCAGCAAGAGCGAAACTCCATCTCAAAAAACGAAAAGGAAATCTGATGGAGAAGATTCCTTCTTTTTTTATTTTTATTTTTTTTAAAGATGGGGTTTCACCATAATGGCCAGGCTGGTCTTGAACTCCTGATCTCAGGTGATCCACCCACCTCGGCCTCCCAAAGTGCTAGGATTACAGGCGTGTGCCACCGCGCCCGGCCAAGAAGATTCCTTCTTAAGGAGAAGAGGCGACTTAATTTTCACTAACTTTTTGTACCTTTTCATTTTTTTCTGTTTTCTTTTTTTTTCTGAGATGGAGTCTCACTCTGTCACCCGGGCTGCAGCACAGTGGTGGAACCACAGCTCGCTGCAGCGCTGCCCTCACAGACCGAAGTGATCCTCCAACCTCAGCTTCTTGAATAGCTAAGTAGCCACCACACCTAGCTAATTTTTTATTTTGTAGATAATAACGAGATCTCACTACCTTGCCCAAACTGGTCTCAAACTCCTTGGCTCAAGCCATCCTTCTGCCTCAGCTTCCCAAAGTGCTGGGATTACAAGTGTGAGCCGCCACACGTAGCCACCTTTTGAATTTTGTATCACAAATGTATTGCTTAAACTAAAAAAGCAAAATTAAAAAACTCAAGGTTAAAAGAACATTTAGAATTATACCTCTGAGTTGATAGATAACCTATAGAACTATGTTTTGGAGACAGCATTCACTGTGGAGTCTGGCAGACCTGGGTTCAAATCCCAGCCCTGCCTTTAGAAACTGAATGACTCTGAGCAAGTCATTTAATCTTTCTGGTGTCCACATTCTCATCTGAAAAGAGGGTGAGAATGTAGGTGTAGCGGGCTGGTTATGAAGGTACATGATGGACTCCAGAGGTTAATAAACTTTTTCTGTAAAGATCTAAATAGAAATTCTTAGGTTTTGTGGGCTGTATGGTCCCACAACAGCTCTGCTGTTGTAACATGAAAGCAGCCATACACAACATGTAAATGTGTAGGCAAGGCTGTGTTCCAGCTGATGGACACAAATTTGAATTTTGTGTGCTATTCAGATGTCAAGAAAAATTATTCTCCTAGCCGGGCGGGGTGGCTCACGCCTGTAATCCCAGCACTTTGGGAGGCTGAGGCGGGTGGATCACGAGGTCAAGAGATCGAGACCATCCTGGTCAACATAGTGAAACCCCGTCTCTACTAAAAATACAAAAAAATCAGCTGGGCATGGTGGGGCATGCCTGTAATCCCAGCTACTC